AAAGCGGATCTATTGTGTCCCACTGCTGCGTAGAAAGAGAAGAGTTCAGAGTGAACACCTGCATCAACGTTTGCTTGGTTTTCCATGTAAGACTCATCAGTGAAGACTTGGAGCCATTGACCTGCAGGATAGTTGACATTGATTGTCTCAAGGACCAGTGAGCGCATTTGTTCTGGAGGGATGTTTGTTTTTCTGAAGTGGTCAAGCATTTGGGTACAACACTCTGCATCAGTGTCTGCTAATGGGCTCATGGGTAGAGAAAGGCTTTTTGATTTGTCATCGATTTGTAATGCCTTCTTCAGTTCTATGGCTTTTTGTATTAGAACCCCTGTATTTGAACATTTATGAGGATCACCGTAGCTACTTGCGATGGAATGAAAAGAAATACCACTTGGTCTGTGTGTAACGGAGAGTGCGCCAGGATCATAAATAATCTAAGGCCTCCCAAATAGCCAGAGGAGGACTAGTATTAATCTTGTCTAAGTCAAAACCTGATCTTGGGGCCCAAGACGACCACAAATATCACAGTCGCATTAATATGACAAGTTGCTAGGGCAACAGAAACAAAAGCCATGAGTTTTTGAAGTTAGCAAATTGTATGAAATGATAAACACGAGGCCGATTGTAGAAGCTGAAATATGAAAGTATCAGTTAACAACTACGAACAAACATTCTAAAAATATTTAATAAAAAGGGGTTTTACGGACCAATGCGCATTGAACGAACCACGATGAGGAATTGAACAGGTTAGAGAAAGTGGAGTGTACAAGAAGATTAAGGGTAAACGATATGTTTAAAATTTTTAACAGGCTTGGTCATTAAATTTAATCAATCGTAAGATGAGATATTCGGGATGCCTCTGCGCACGTCCACTTTTTCCAGAATACGAGATCCATTAGTTCGGACTTATTCTCCAACTAATTAAGACAAAATAGCTGAGAAAGTACGTGGGATTTGGAGTCACCACAAGGAAGTAATGATGGCAAAGGTAAAAGTTTTGGAAACACGCAGGGGTTCAACTTTCAATGCCATCCACTTTATATACAGTGAGTTTTTTAATTTGGCTATTAAACAGATTAAGCGTCAGTAGACACTGTATAAGAAAAGAATTCCATACGCACAGCTTCCATTTTTGTCATCTTATGACTTTTCAATGAAGACTATTATACTCAATAAGAGCTTTAAAGCTCTAATAAACGTGGGTTAAATCAAAATTTTAACCTCTCCTCGATTAGGTCGATCAAGCAAAGAAATTTATGCTAAAAAGTCATCAGTGTATTGGGGGAATCGAAACAGCTTTATTTACAGTTTATGAGTTCAATATAAGACGAGTGGCTCTCAATAATCGGCAAATGATAAGTAGTCCTTGCGACTCATGCCAACAGCAGCCTTGTTCTTTTCAGCCTCAAGCTTGGGACAATGAGTGATACGATGACCCAGACCACCACAGTACGCACATCCCACTTCATCGCCGGATACCATGAGATGTTGAGTTTCGTCTCCATGCTCTGCTGACAACTCCAAGAGGAATTCTGGAACTGGCTGTCTGGCTTCAATAAGGAGATGCTTAAGATCCAATAGAGTTGATTCGTTTACGCTCTTGTTGATGAAGGTCGTGGCTAGACCCTTCTGTTTTCCACGACCTGTACGACCGATTCTATGGACTGAAAGAAACTAATTAAGATTCAAAGGAAGTCTAAGTGCACCAATAGTTTCAAAAATGCTGAATTCAGACGTTCCACCTACGTCAAAGGGATTAAAGTGAAGAAACAAAGGACAGAGAGTTTGGTTTATCTGAAAATCTCGATAACTATCAGCAGCTTGATACACTTGAAACTGTCCGCAGTTGATATTTTCATATATAGGATTACAAAAGATATTTAGAAAGGAGTAGTAGGTGAATGGAGAAATACATGTTCCGATTTTACCCACAATTAATCTTCATCGATAATGGCATATGAGTCAACATGGACATATGGCGGGTCAGAGACCATGGGATCGATGTCCATCAAAGTACACTCAAGGAAGGGAACTGTATCGGCAAATAAAAATCAACAAGAGGAGTAAGAAGACGGGAATTTTATCAGGGAGGATAGGTACTATGATGGTGGCAATCTTCCGGCAAAAACAAGTGAAGCGAAGAGTTGGAAATCGCATGTTTCGTCACACAATAACCCCTTTTTCTGTGATGATAAAGATTGATTGACTAATAAACAAGTCATATCCCGTCCACTTACAAAAGCATAACCGTTGCAGGTAGGCCAAAAAATCAAGAGATTACATTATGAACGGCTCAAATATGTTTTCACAACATGCATTTTAAGCAATCGCAATATGCAAAAACAGGAAATACGTTTAGTAAATATGCATACTGCAGAAGGCAAAATTTTAGGAGTTATTAATTATCACCTGTTCTTGCGTTCTAGGTTAATGATTTTAGCTGCTATCCATCAGTAATGTCTGATCGGCCTGCTTACATTGGCCCATCTATCACAAACCTCACATGAATATAATGATCATTAGACAAGGCTTCTTCCCGTTTTCGATTCCTTAATACCAGGTGTCAATCCCCACCTTTACAGTTGATTTCTTATTGGCATTTAGTTATTTAAATTAACCATCGCCATCATTTTTAAATAATATATCTTAATAACCCTCTAGCAGGTCTCTAGACATTTCGCATTGTCTCATAACGTATAGGTATATACTCTACTCCTGCAGATGAACTCCTCTATCAAGATAGCGGGGGCTTATCCAATTTCACCGAGGACTACGATATGCATGATATATATTAGTAACTTAAAGCAGTCAAAGAACATGGCAGGACTTAAATTGCTGTTATTCAGGGCGTAGGGAGACACATTTCGTCGAAATTTGCGATTCAAGTGAGTGCCAGGGAGAGAAAAGCGTAATAATTAGGAGTACCGATGGTGTCTAACATTTTCTTTTGACTTTTAAACCCGCGCTGCGCTCTCGCCAAGAACTTCATGGAAAATTTAGAACACCACGAAAACGCCCCTTTCAAGTGCACAATTGAATTAAAGCTTGAAATTAAATAAATAAGATTTATTAGATTTACGTCTCTCTACGCAAAAGGAGACGATAAGGCACTTAAGTAGACGTAAAGTTATACCATCAAGCATGAGATATTGGAGTGCATGAAGGAAATTGTTAAAAGATCATAGCTTGTGAATAATCTTTCGCACACATAGACTCGGATTTCTTTGCAATGTCAGTATTAGAATAGTGCAAAATCGTATGAGGACAAAAAGGCAAAATATCTAGAACGCACATGAAAATTAAGGGAACTCTTGACAAAACTAGGTATTTGGGGTAGGGTACATTGTTAGGATGCCCCAAAACACAACAAAACTGTGTACAAATGAAAAATACATATTTCACAAAGGGAATTCAGGGTCTTAGATAGGACGATGGAAAGGAATGATCACCGATTCGATGGAGGACTTTTTAGCCATCAATCATATAGCAAAATCTTTGTCAGCATAGAGTGACAGCGACTCCATTGTTTCAGAGTCGCACTACATAAGCCTTCTCTATTATTCGGCGATGAGAGTGAACTGATGTCCAAACCCTTGACCTCTAGACCGTTGCAGCCTTTTGATCTGACCTATTGCTCGAAAGATTATAATTATCACCAAGCCCCGGTAACTTTTACAATATAAAACCATGCGATCGGGTAAAGGCGTGGTCGCCCTGGGACCTTTCACACTTCTGGTACGCAGTGCGCAATTCAATTCTGTGGCTATAATTAAAAGTATTTATAACAAATGGCAGGCGTTTTGATAGTTACCAGTACCCCTTTCGCTGACTTCGGGCTTCACAGAGGGGAGGAGGAACATCAAAATGAAAAAAGTCGAGGGGGGGGGGGAACAGAAGAGTGATTCAAAGATGTAAAAGAGACAGACAGGGAGACAGACACAAAGACAGAGAAAAGGTAAGATTAGTACGATGGAAGTGGTCGAATATGACATACATTAGGGTTATGGTAGTTTGAAGTCAGAAGTCAACTGCCGGTTAATAGACTTTTTTGCCGTATGATTATACGTTGCCCAGGATGGACCACATTTTGCCGTATGAGTATGCGTTGCCCAGGGTGCACCACGTTTTTGCCGTATGAATATACGTTGCCCAGGGTGCACCACGTGGGCAGTTTGAAGTACCAGTCAATAGACTTTTTTCCGCATAAGTATACGTTGCCCAGGGTGCACCACATGGAGGTTGTAAGTACACGTTGCCCAGGGTGCACCACGTGGAGGTATGCCGTTTGAGTATACGTTGCCCATTGGTTTATAGACTTGTTTGCCGTATGAGTATACGTTGCCCGTCAATGGGGTGATGGTAGTTTGAAGTGAGAAGTCAACTGCCACAATGGGGTCATGGTAGTTTGAAGTTAGAAGTCAACTGCCTTTAATAGACTTTTTTGCCGTATGAGTATACGTTGCCCAGCGGTTTATAGACTTTTTGCCGTATGAGGTCACGTTTCCAAGCCATTTAATAGACTTTTTTGCCGTATGATTATACGTTGCCCAGGATGGACCACTTGGAGGTAAGTCTATCGCACACCCCGGTTTCAAAAATATAATCGACAAACGAACGATAATGTCTGGCGGATTTGTCAAAGAACCGACACATCAAAATTGCATCGACATTCCCTCGACAGATAGTCGTCAATGCGTGTACTTAATCGGAGAAGGAGAAACCGTGAGCACAAAAAAATAAAAACCCTAATCCGCATGGCAATAAATTTTGACAACAGTATCAAACATAACAAATACGAGGTGTCAATCAATGAAAATGATTCATCATGGGAGGGACAGTAATGACGATTGTTTATTATTATAGTGTGGCAAGGAGTAATTAGATTATAATCGCCTGAGAAAATACCACTCAATCAAGTAAAGGACTCAGTAAAAAAAAATTGTGCTTAAAAAACGCGAGAAGATCTATGCCACACTATTCAATTAAAATCACATTACAAGACAAAAGAATGAAGCTTAGTGAATAGTGTTAATAAGCACATTAATCACTAAAGCTCAATATGCTTTCAACGCAAAAGATCTGAGCTCTTTTAGGAATCCGGGGTGCAGACCACATAGGGCTTGATTTAGCGACTTCGAATCAAGATAGAGTAGGGTAATTCAGATATCAAGAGACCATATGTCAGTTCCCGTGATCCGATATTTCAAAAGAACATTATAATAAGTAAAGGCTAAGCTTAAAAGGAAAGGATGATAGCGAGGCGATAGGAAAGATATAAAATGATATCTAATAAACACATTCACATTTGTTTACAACTTCTGGAACAAACCCTTCCATCGTCACATTAAAAAAGGCAGACATGCATAAATTATGCACGAACTCTATAAATAAAACAAAAAAATGAAACCACATAATTCTATATTAGACCAATGAGGGGTGTGCGATAGACTTACCTCCACGTGGTGCACC